ACAACAGGGAAAACATTGCAACAACAGAAATTCAAACCAAACAAAATGAACATAACACGCCCTGGCCCCGCCAAACAATGTAAAACTCAACCACAGAAGTACAGACCCCAGTGGACCCCCACCATACAAAAAATAGCGAGGCAGACAACACCCAAACAGCAGAAAACAAAAAAAGACAGCACAAGGGCAACCCCAGAACAAAAATAGGGCAACAGGAGAAGACAACAACCTCAGAACCAAACTGAAAAACTCTAACAGAGTCGTGTAATGGCTCACCCCACAGAACCAATAATTTAAGGGACACATGACTCTCTAAGGCTTACAGTACCAAGAAACACACACAACTGAGCAGAATGAAGAGAAGCAAGGAGGGTGACTCACAGGCGTAGAGAGCGGAAGGAGAAAACTCAGCAAATCGGAGAGCTTTAGGTATGGCTGGCCAAGCGTGCGAAACAGATATTATACATAGGAGAAGCTCAGCCGCAGACTCGAACAGTAGCAAACAGTGGCATGTAATCTATGGCCACAGAAGAAGTTGAACGCGCGGGTCTGCCAACAGTAAAGCAGCTGTTAGTTTCTTTGCAGCGTGAAAGGGAGTTCCGTCCGCACTGCTTTAACGGAAACAGGCCCATGTTACTCTCTTAGCATTTTAGATAAGAGAAAATGGTTGTGGTAAAAAAAGAGAAAATGATTTTGTAATTTATCAAAGAATTTAATGCATGTATGGGAAGAAAAATGGTATTGGGAGATGATTCTCTTATGGAGGATACAATTAAATTCCACTAGCTTTTTCTTACCTTCTAACCTTTTGAGTTAAAGTTACTACGTATATAACAATACCTTTATATATCTTAATCTTTTTCTTTACATTTAATATTCACTTAAAGTTCGAGTCAAACCCCAATGGATCTTAGTATCTTACATTATTCTTAGAAGGAAAAAAGGTCAAATAAGTCCGTCTATTATTGTGAAAAAATCGTCTAAGCCCTTGTACTAAAAAACCCACCACATAAGTACATTTACTAATCAAAAGCAATCAAATAAACCCAATGACCGGATAACAACCTTCTATAGGAAGTTAGTGACATTTAACTTCTTTCTTTCTCCGATCTAGGCATATCTTCTTGCTACAGTGATGTGCTATACGAAAAAGTCAATTGAGTCCTCAAACTTTTTTTGTGAATCTATTAGGTCCTCAAAGTGATAAAAAATGATCAAATTGGCCATTTTGTAGGTCTTTGTCCGGTTTCCCGGTTGACAAGCTATGCAGATCCGCCGCCCTTACTTCCGTACGCCAAGTCGCCAACCCTCAATATATAGGCCATAGCCACAACCTCCCACACAGTCTAATCCCCTTCTATATATGTTCGGCGATGGCTATGTGAAACAGAGAAAGAGGTGGAATGAGAGGAGAAAGAACTGTAGAAAGAAACAAGAAAGTAAGAAAAAGATGGGAGGGGGAGAACGGTTGGTGTTTGCGAGAGGAAGGAGAAAAAGAAAAAACAAAAGAAATAGAAAAACTACCTAAAAATAAAATAAAACAGTAAAAAAACGACATGTGGACATCCGCCTAAGCATCAACCGGGAAACCGGACAATGACCTACATAATGGCCAATTTGATCATTTTTTATCACTTTGAGGACCTAATTGATTCACAAAAAAGTATGAGGGTTCAATTGACTTTTTCGTATAAGTACATGGACCTATTTGACAGTTTTCTCTTACTTTTATTTTACTTTTTCTTCATGCTATCATTCCAACGATTTCTATTTTTAATTTCTTCTTCTTTTTCAATAAAAATCATCTATCATCTTCTCTCAAAAACAAATGTGCATTCTTTGGAAAATAAATAAGCCAGTTTTTATTAAAGATTCTTTTATTTTGAGGAAAATCACACCTTTAATCCTTCAGCTATTGTCCACATGAAAATATACTACCTCTATTCCCTTTTAATTGCAACATGAGACTCTTCACTATTCACATATTCTACTTTGACTATATTTTATTAATACGGAGGAAGTAGTAATTACCATAAAGTCAAATTAAAATTGTTACCCATTTGTAACTTTGACACAATTCAAAAGGGTCAGATAGGCCATCGAACTTACATAAATAGGTCAAATAAGCCTTTATATAGGAGGCTCTGTCCTGCCGTCGCCATTTGGGGTGGTTTCCAGTGGAATTTTTTGATGAACTTTTTTGAGAATCTTATTTATTAAATCTAGTTTACTCATACCAAAGTTCAGCTAAAACTTCAATCGGGAAGACATTCAAATGAATTCTTGAAGATAATTGTGCAATTAAAAGCGCAGTTAATTTCAATAATTCAGTTGAATGTCTTCCTGATTGAATTGTTACCTGAAATATGGATTGGAAAAGTCCGACTTTATCAATCAAAGACAACAAATGTCTGGCACACACGAGAAATATTTTAGACACGGTAAAATATTGTACATTTTTGTGTGTGACAAATTTATTTTTGATGTTATATGATTGTTATTTGTGTGTGCTAGACATTTATTATCTATAAAATTTAGTTTTTGCAACAAATATTTTGGCGCCTAACTTTAGAAAATGTCACTGCAAAAGATTTTGAAAATGTATACAAAAAATACAGATAACAAATTTCAAGAATTTTCTTATTTCATTATTATGTAAGTTTGATATGAATCATATGATCTAGCATGGTATATTTAAGTGTGGTGTTGTCTAATAGAATTTTCTTATTTCATTATTATGTAAGTTTGATATGAATCATATGATCTAGCATGGTATATTTAAGTGTGGTGTTGTCTAATTTGGGACTCAAAAACAATTCAATTAAAGTATTCCAAGAAGGAAGAAAAAACAAAATCGAAATCTCTCAGACCTCTCAGACAGATTGCAAGCTCTTCAAAGGAACCAACCCTAGAGGTGAAACCACCCGTTTACTGGACTATTATGTTCGAGAGAAGCAAATATTCTTCCACAATTGGACTGCTGCGAGAATATTGACTACATGGGCCGAGTGGGCCCTGATATTTTGTTTTTGTTGATTATTTTGCTTCTTGTACCGAGTCAATATTTGAATCCCTGTATCTTGACTTTTTATTTCTAATATTATCAGGTAAATGTTTCCCAACATTTACCTCACCATTGTGGTGAATTTTCGGGATTAAAAAAATACAAGAAAAACAAAAATAAATAGAAAATTAGAAGAAAAGTCAAAAAGGGAAATAAAAAATAAATAGGAAATGAGGAACAAACCAGAGAAAAACGCAGGCACATGTTTAGGAGAAAAACAAAGGGAAAATGGTAAGATATGGCCTCGAACTTACATAAAAAGGTCAAATAAGGCCTTATATAGGAGACTCTGTCCGGCCGACGCTATTTGGGGCGGTTCCCGTTGGAACTTTTTGATGAATTTTTTTGAGCATCTTATTCATTAAGTCTAGTTTACTCATACCAAATTTGAACTAAAACTTCAATCGGGAAGACATTCAATTGAATTCATGAAGATAACTGCGAATTTAAAAGTACAGTTATCTTCAAGAATTTATTTGAATGCCTTCCCGATTGAAGTTTTAGCTGAAATTTGGCATGAGTAAACTAGACTTAATGAATAAGATGGTAAAATATTTTCATCAAAAAATTCCTCCGTAAACAGCCCCAAATTGCGACGGCCGGACAAAGCCTCTTATATAAGGCCTTATTTGACTTTTTTATGTAAGTTCGAGACCCTATTTGACCCTTTTCCCAAAAACAAATGGGCGGAGCGACCAAGAAGAAAAACAGAGAAAGAAAGATACGGAGTACTCCGTAGAATAAAAGAAGCAGGGAATCCCAAGAAGCAGATGGATGAAGTGTGTTTCAGATCGAGAAGAACAAAAAGCAAGGATTAAAATAAAATTTTCATTAGTTAATGTATCTATGTGATGGATTTTTTAGTAGAAGGGCTTGGATGATTTTTTGGATATAGTAGACGGGTTTATTTGACCCTTTTTCCTTCTTAGAATGTACTACTACCTCCATCCCTTTTATATTGGGACGGAAGGGGGTTGCACGGGTATTAAGAATAAAGTGAGAATGATTTAGAACCACACAAACTTTTTCAAATATGGTATGAGACAATATTAGTGGGACTTCCCGAAATGATAAAACGGGACAATATAAGGGGACATAGGAATAGTAATATTCAGCTTTGTCATGTGTGCCTACCATGCCCTTACTGTTGGAGCACTACGTATCTATTAACTCTCTTCTAACGCTTGTGGCCACACTTACAAGACTTGAGCGACATGATTTGCTCAATGAATTTTACAAAATAACTTCCACCCAAACCATAGGTTATATGGATAAAATAACTATCCAATACTCCATAATACTCGATACTCCCTATACATCTTTAACATCATATATAGTTATATACTACTAGTAATACTCATTCAAGAGAGTTTAGTCTAGGGAGTAATCTTGTAAAAATATACGGTGTAGATAAGGATGACGCTTGACGCCTCATCCTCAAGGGTCCCCAGAACCGACCGGATAGTTATTTGGGAGGATGTAAGTTGAGTTTTGATCGATTAAAGGAGAACGAGATTCCATCCTAAGTCACTACTTGGAGTTGAACCGAGACTCTCCCTCCTTTTGGCACCCCGGTAATATAGAGCATAGATAATATTACTAGGGAAATTCTACGATGCACCTCTAAAGTTTGCATGTACGGTACATTTTTTTATGTAGGCAAATAAAACAATGTCACATGGACATTAAATTCATATATTTAATTATTTTTCATGTGATACAATATTATTGACCCCTCTAATATAATCAAATTAACTGGTGCACGGTAGTAGTGCCTTTATTACTATATGATGTTAAAGATGTTGACTTAGTGAGATTTCTAACATACGAGTAGGATTTATATCATTCATTCAAACACAATGACACGTATATTGACGTCATATCATGGCAATAAATGTGTAGACGGCACCAGCCTTGCCAGTCACATTTCTTCCGCTATGTGGTCTAATACAGAGTAATAATGGTACTATACTACTATTGCAAAGGGACTTGTCAATTCATACACACTCTTTCTCTGTCTCTCTCTCTGCTCCTTTTAAAGAATCATGTATTAAATGCTAACAAATTCCTGGCCTTTTGTTGTTCACTGAGGAAAATCGAATCCAGAGAAGTTGAGAGGGGGTGGGAATGGGTAGAAAACCTTGCTGTGACAAGAAAGGGCTGAAGAAAGGGCCTTGGACTCCTGAGGAAGATGAAAAGCTCATTGAGTTCATCAAGAAGAATGGTCAAGGAAGCTGGCGTTCTTTTCCCAAGCTTGCAGGTGAACCTTCTCTTCTTTCCTCATACTTTGGCTCCTTTCTTTCACTTATCTGTTATTTTAGGTATTTTGAAAGCAATCTAAACTTAAAAAGAAGTATTTTTGGAGTATAGCTAGCCCCCATCTCTATTATAGGACTGAATTTCCTGTTGGCCAAGCGATTTAAGACAACTCCATCAAATTACAAGCCATGTGCTGTAGAGTGTTTGGTTGAACAGAAATAGTAAGTCTCTTTTCCATCTCAGTTTGGGTTGTAATTTGTCCCCAGTCTACATAGGTTGTTATTTACTGGCCAATAAAACAATTTGAAGATTTATTTCAAGCAATTATGAAATATTGATGTATTTAGAGCAAATTAACTTAATTAGTAGCCAGTTTTCACATGTAAGTATTTTTTTTAATAACTGCAGAGTTCAGATTGTCTACGTTCTTCAATATAAATATATGAAATATTCTCTCGAGAAGAAGTCTATGTTGAAAGGAACTGGCAAGCTTTAACTGGCACGAGTGTATAACATATTTATTTAGCAACAGTTCCCAAGAAATAAACTACGTAATTATTTGCTAGCTAAACTGATTAGGTTTTTTTCCTTTTCCTTATCCTACTATTAGAGAAATCGGAATACTGAAAAACATAAGCAAGTGGCTGATGAAACCAGCATTTTGCCATTTCTTCTTTTTTGGTCTTTATTTGTTTATAGATTCATCATCATCCCACCGTTCCTACCAACGCTTACCTACTTATGAGCAAAAAAGGACAAAGTTTCCGTGTTGTTGATTCCTAGGTGTAGAGATTCTTCCCCTATGCTGCTTATTGGCACTAATACTTGGTATTATTGGCACTAATACTTGGACTCATTGAGCTCATTGATAGCGCATGCTGATTTTTAATGTCATTATAGGTGAAGTGTTTGCTGAATAATACTGTATTATATAACAACTGCTAGTGAAGACATAATTTTGGGGATCTAAATTGGTAAATTTTATCCCTGGGCATTGTGTCTATACTTTGTATGAATTCTTAACAATAATAGTCAATAGACTGGCCATTGTTTATAATGGGCAGTTCAGTAAGAAATGCATGGATAATGGTTGTCAAACAAAAGGAGCAAACAAAAGATATGGTTCCCCTATCTCTACAGGAACAAAAGGAGAATTTGCTTTTGTGACTTTTGTGAAGAATTGATGGCTGATATTATCAATCATAGATTACCTACTTGTTAATATGATAGCATTTGCGTAGGAATTGGTTTTGAGGAATGCAATATTTTTGGCAAATATATATTTAAGCATTCAAAGATATGTACTTTTAAAAATATATTCATGAGGAGTACATGCCATTGGTTTTTATATCTTCTCTAGTGTCAACATGTTACATGTCTAATGGATCCTAAAATGGGGAAGGGCAAATCAATGAAAATCTACTGAGTTACTTTTAAGGAGACACTAAGATGTTTTTTGTGGTGTGTATCGCTGCTTTCATTTTCCGTCCCGCAGGGCTTCTTCGCTGTGGGAAGAGTTGTCGCCTGCGGTGGACAAACTACCTAAGGCCAGATATCAAAAGAGGCCCTTTTACCCCGGAGGAAGAGAAGCTTGTCATTCAATTGCACGGCATTCTTGGAAACAGGTTTAGTTAGTTCCTTTGCAAGAGTCAACAACAAATTTTCATAGCAGGGAATAAATATTACTAGTAAGTCATAGTAACTGCTTCTTTCAGATGGGCTGCCATTGCCTCCCAGTTACCTGGAAGAACAGACAACGAGATCAAGAACTTATGGAATACTCATCTGAAGAAGCGCCTGCTTTCAATGGGAATTGACCCTCAGACTCACGAACCCTCAACGGAATTTAATGGGCTGCCGAGGCTACATACGAGCCCCTCCACCCGCCACATGGCACAATGGGAAAGTGCTAGGCTGGAAGCTGAGGCTCGGCTTTCAAGAGAATCAAAACTATCGGTGTCATCAACTATCAGAGGATCTGAAACTGACTTCTTCTTACGGTTGTGGAATTCTGAGACGGGGGAAACATTTCGGAAACTCAAGAAATGCATAGACAATGCCTGTCAAAGCCCACCGACTTCTCTAGCGTCTTCATCCACAAAATGCTGCTCGACCTCAGGTACGACAACCGAAATGGACCTTACTCTACCTGCTGCAGGGGGGGATGATGATCCAGATGGGAAGAACAGCAGATCTAACTACATTGAAGATCTCCTACTAGGAGGATCAGAAACATCTTGTTCAAACGAGTTGGAAGATTCTTCCGAATCAGCTCTGCAGCTTCTGTTGGACTTCCCCACATTTAATGACATGAGCTTCTTAGGACACACCGACACATATGACGTATATCCCGCCCTTTTGACTGAAAGCTCATTGAATGGCTGCTTATCTGCAGAACATTGAAGTCCCCATCCATCTTCTATTTTTGAACTGGCTGGTTTTTAGTAGCTCCAGCAGTAGAATTCTGGACCTTGATTCTCTTATCCCCCCCTCCCCCTCCCCCTCCCAGTATGACGTTATGTAAGAATATGCCCAAACATCTGATCTTGTTTTGTGGCCTATGGCAAAGTGCTGTCTTGGTCTAATACGTTTGAATTTCGCAAGGGTGCAAATCACTCCAAAAGTTGGTTTTTTGAAACATCAAATTGTTTGGACTCGGGGATCTTAAGATCTTACCAAATGGCCAGAGTGCAACCAGGTATCCAGCATTCATTCAAGAACACTTGCAGGCTAGGGGTATTGATGGAATACATTTATAGTTACTAGGTCCATTTTTTGTATGATTACTGTGCGTCTGTGCCCAAGCTGCTGCAGTTTTCCAATCTCTGGGCTATAATTTATATAGGATTTTAACGTTTATGAATTATAAACAATTTTGTTCCATATTTATAATTCATCAATATGTCTAGCCTGAGAGCTCACTCCATCCAGCAATCCATCTGAAAGAAAGGAAGAAAGAAATCATATCACTTCTGTGTATGACAGTCAGCCTTCTAATGCCAAACACAACTTATTGCTTAAATGTTATGCCATGATCTAATTACATTTAGAAGATTGAGCTCATTTTCAGTTTAATATGAGATCTAAATCATGGATATGCCTACCTTTCTCTGAAATCAGGGAGATGCACGTTTTCATAATTGAAGTTGTATATTGAAAATGATTTCTAATAATATCAACTATTTGAATGTAGAATAAAAATAATATGAAGTCACTTTTAGGCAAGAAATCTAATAATTCAAGACAAAAAATAAATATTAAGAAATAATGACAAAAGTACTAGTAGGCCTGGACTCGGGCCGGTCGGACCAAACCGGAACCGGCCTGAACCGGTACTGTTCCGGCCTGGCCCGGGAACTGGTCAGCTGGACGGTTCGGGCCTACCCGGCCCGGTAGGTAGGCGGTCCGGGCTCGGGCCTTGTAAATGACGAACCGGCACGGTCCGGGCCTCCAACGGCTCTTTTTTTTTTAAAAAAAATTAATGAAGGCTCCCTAGCCGTTGGGAATAATCCCAAACGGCTCTATAGCCGTTGGAGGGGGATCCGGGGGATCCGGGGGGGTTTGGGGGGGGGGGGGGGGTGATACCCAAAAAATCCTATTTATACTCCTATATTCTCTACATTTTTTACACCATCTTCATACAATCCTACTCTGTAATTTTCTATTCTCTCATACTCAATCATCTCCATCTTCATCTTCATCTTCTCCAAATCTCTCTACATATATATATATATATACACATTATTTATATAATTAGTATATCTACTTATATATTAATTATCTACTTATATACATATATTATATTACTAGTATTTATTATCTACTTAATATATACTTATTATCTACTTATACATCTCCATCTTTTTAATATTTACTTCATTATCTATATTTATTGTTATTTACTTATATATATTAAAGTATTATATATAAGTGTATTACTCATCTTATAGTAATATACTTATATATTATATACTATAAACATTATATTACATATTAGTTATAAAATAATCTACTATATACCTATATTATATTACTAATATTTATTATCTACTTAGTATATACTTATTATCTACTTATACATCTCCATTTGTTTAATATTTACTTTGATATCTACTTATTATCTATATTTATTGTTAATTACTTATCTATATTAAAGTATTATATATAAGTGTATACTCATCTTATAGTAATATACTTATATATTATATACTATAAACATTATATTATATATTAGTTATACAATTATATTAGTTACAATTGAATTCATAGTAATTAAATTCATCGTATTAGTTAATTTTTACATTTCTCATTATCATAATTTAGTTAATTAATTACATTTTTCATTAAAGTATAAAACTAGTTAATTGTAACATTTTTCATTAAAGCATAAAACTAGTTAATTGTTACATTTTTCACTTATTAATAAAAGTAGTTAATTGTTACATTTTTCATTTCGCTATTAGTTAATGTTAATTGTTGCATTTATCATAAAAGTATAAAACTAGTTAATTGTTACATTTTTCATTTCCCTATTATTTAATAAAACTCGCATTTTATCATTACTATTGTACTCATATTAAAACATTTGATATTATATAATATTTGTTACATTTTTAAGATGGACCGTGGTAGACATTCCGTAGATATGAGTAATCTCCAACGCAACCGAAGGAAGGAGATTGCGACAAGTCATCCTAGTTTACGCAAAGGCAAAGGCAAAGGGCGGGCCGGATCTTCTTCTCAAAGTCGAGAAGATTTTGAAACGGGATACCAAAGGCGAGATGAGGATGCGATGTCCGACGAGCAACTACAACAACTATTGGCGCAAAATGATGGTCGCTTTTTCCAACAACAAAACATCCCGGAGTTCATTGATGAAGAGGAGCTCGAGGATGACGATGCGGAGGAGGACGAGGGGGGCGACGGGACTCACGCACCCCGGATGATGAGCAAGAGTTGGAGGACGAGTCCATTGTTTTGTCTTTCATTACAAAGAGGAAAGACAAAACAACCGATAAATGGTACGCAAGTTGCGATCATTGCAAGAAGGAGTATAGCTTGGGAACTTCTGGCGGATACGGGAGCCTCAAAAGGCATCTTAAGTCCGCGCAGGAGTATGCGAAAATAGAAAAAGGCAAGGGGAAGCAAACTCAAATATCGAGGTTTGCAAATGACCAACCTTTTGGTAATTTCTCATACAATGAGGCACGAAATTTGACTGGTATGACTAACTTACTTGTTGAAGAAAATTTGCCATATTTGTTTTCTGAAAGTCTTGCTTTTAAAGATTATGCACAAACTTGTTTAAATCCTCAATTTAGAGGTTATAGTCGCAAAACGGTTAAGAAAGAAATTATAAGGCTTTATCGTGCGGAAAAGGATAGGTTACAAATTTTTTTTGCAAACTTTGATGGTCGTGTAACTATTTGTTCTGACATTTGGGAGGATACTTATCATAATTTACATTATTTGGGCCTGACTGCATATTTTATTTATAATGATTGGAATTTGCATAAACGTGTTCTTGCTTTTCGTGAATTTAATAATCGTCACACCGCTGAACATATTTATATTTTGATTGAACGTATTTTAACTGAGTATAATTTGATTGATAAGGTATTTGCTATAGGTTTTGATAATGCTACTAATAATACTGCTGCTATACCTAGATTGCGTGAATTGTGTGGTTCTCATACTTTGATGGGTAGATTTTTCATCAACGATGTGCATGCCATATTATAAATTTATATGTGCAAGACGGTATAAAAGCGTTAGAAGATGCTATGGAGGTAGTCAAGGGGGGGATTAGACGTATTTGGGGCAATGATCAACTTAAATTAAAATGGCTAAATTATTTGATTGAAAGAGGTGTGAAATATGTTGCTTTTCCTAAAGATTTGTCTATTCGGTGGAATAGTACTTATAAATTAATTAAAGTTCTTCTTAGATATAAAGAACATTTTCCTGCTTTTTTAAGACAATGTGATAACTATATTTTAAACTCCGCTCACATCGACACTTGCGAAAAAATTTGTAATGTTTTGATATATTTTAATAATGCAACTGATAGTTTTAGTCATGTTTATAAACCTACCTCAAACGAATTTATTCGTGAAGTTGTTAATCTCGCCGGTGTTTTTAATGAATTTGAGAATGCCGCTTACGTGAGTTATTTTTGTGGTTTTATGAAGGAAAAGTTTTTAAAATATTATGCACATATTCCGCATATTTATGGTATTGCATTTATTCTCGATCCTCGTTATAGACTTGGTAATTTGGAAGAATGTTTGAAGTTCTATTATAATGCTTTTTTTGGTCCATTTCCAATGTATGACGATAACGTCATAGATCCGCAAGTTGAATACAACGAGGTTAGTAATTTATTTTATGCCTTATTTAATGAGTTTCGTGCACAATATGGCAACGCGCCCCCTACCCCGACACACACATCTTCATATAAAGGAAAATCACTGTTTTTGGCAATCTTATGAAAAAAACTAAAACAACTCACACTACTGAACAAAGCGCACTAAATGAGATTTCTTTGTATATAAAATATGAAGTAGAATTTGACGAAAATGAGGAGTTTGACGTTCTAAAGTGGTGGAAGTCAAAAGAAAGAATGTTCCCGATTTTGGCACGGATGTCTAAGCAAGTGCTATCAATGCCGGTTTCAACAGTTGCCGTGGAACAAGAATTTAGTTCGGCCGGCAATGTTCTAACGGCATCTAGAACGAGTTTGAGCGCTGAGTCTCTTGAGACGCTTATATGCTACCACGATTGGTTGAAGGCCATACATAGAACTCAAGAAATTAGCATCACCCCCCTCCCAAGACTTTATGAATGAATCAACAACCGAGGGTGGCTCCTATGCCGGAGATTCCGATTGATTAGTATTTTACAATTTGTTATAAAATGTATTTCATGTTTTAATTTTTCCCTCAGTTCTCTATTGTAATTTGTAAAGTTGTAGTTTATATTTCAAATAAATATACATTCTTTTTTTATATGTAGCACTTCTCAAATTAATTAATCAATTGGTTACAAACTTACAACTTACAACTTAGAATTAATTATATTAGTATTTATTGAAAAATGTATTTCATATTTAAGTTGAATTAATAAGTAAAAAAAAAAATACATAGGCCCGACCCGACCCGGGACCCGGGCGGGTGACCCGACCTGAACCGGCACCGGGCGAAGGACGGGCCGGTTCCGGCCCCCCATTCCAGGACCGGAGGCCCGGCCCCGACCCGGCCCGAGTCCAGGCCTAAGTACTAATATGGGCTTTACCATTTATAAAAATAAGACATTAGTTCTGTATGGACAGAAAAGAGAGCAAAACTATTTTAAGAGACCAAATTGCCCCCAAAACCTAGCTTTGTATCCACTCCTGGTCTGCATCGCATCAGCATCGCAGATCTCAGCAACGCTCCACAACTCGTCCGCATTGCATCAAGAGCTCGTCGCTGCCGAACGGAACACCTACGCTACCATCACCGTGTGCCTCGCCAGACATCGCCGAACCTCACCCTCGATCTTCTTCTTTTCCTTTCCAGTGGTGGAGACGAACGAAATTTCTCGTCCAGCGAACGCGAGAGCAGGGGTTGGGAAGGCGCAGGGGACGGTGTTGGAAGTGGGGCAGGGGTTTGGGGTGAGGCGCGAGGCTAAGAGGCCATGGAGGGGAGAGGACTGGATCCTAGCTGGGGGCTGGGTCCGGGATTGAGGTTGGGGCTGGGTCTGGGAAGGGGTCTGGGGTCTGGGAAGGTGCCAGGGGCTGGCGGGGTGCTAGGATTTGGTGGATGTGGCTGGGTAGGGGCAGCTTCAATCGGCTGCGGCTGGGTAGGGGTAGGTTCAATCGGCGACGACGATCACCGGACAGGCGGGGGTGGGGGTGGGGGGGGTGGGGGTGGGGGTGTCATTGGACGGGTAGTGGGTGGCTGTTAATGGAGGGGCAGTGATAAATGTACTGGAGTCGTGATGAGCACTAAAATCCGTGTGGTCACGGGGGTCGGGATGTCAGTGGAACAAA